TTGTCCAAACTGAACAACCAAGTGCATTGCTGCACTCAGTTCTCTCGCTGCTGTCCTGCAGGGCTGTAATGCAGCAGCAGTCCCTTTGGGGCACACATCAATATAGAGAACTAACTAATCCACAAGCCAGACCTCGGGTTTTCCTCTTCCAGTATCTGGCTGCAGGAGTCCCCTCCCCCATGAGGCCATAAGTGTGGATGAGAGGCACTGGCGAACAGGGGTGACAGACGAATCTGGACTACCTGGTATATTCCTTGGTTGTGCCCACTGAACTGCTCAGGCCTAATCCTCAATGTACATTTTCATGTTGCACGGATTGTTGCTGCACCCACCCAACCTTATGACCTGGTGGATCTGACAATAACCAGCATGATGGGTGGCTCAGGTCACCTGAGGTCCCAGGGTTGGGTATTCAGTCTCTAATTGGGCCCAGAGGCAAGCCAGAAACTTCTTTTCAAACTCACTCATTTGGAGGTGAATAGTTTTCCACCACATGGCCTTGCTCCAGAATCCTAGGGTCTGTGCTACAACCTCCTATTGGGCCTGTCAGAAACTACACAGCACCCTTATCTGCTCCAGATAGCACTAGCTCTGTTGGAATTTCTGGGTCACATGGAGCAGGAGGGATGCTTGTAATGCAGCTTAGACAGGCTTCAGAGTTCTTTCTTATTCTGGACTCCCATTCACAACTGGTAGGTTTGTGAATTACTCAGGAAATGCATTGAGACAGCATTCTCAAGCACGGCATTCTTGTCTCCAAAATCCAGAGGCCCAACAAGTGCTGTACTTCTCAGTGAGGGTAGTGGGGAGATGAGGGTGGGTGTAAGGTTCAAAATCTACCACCTTAGAGGGAGTATCTCTCAGAATGCCCCACACCATTGGATACCTAAAAATATTATCAATGTCGTGGTCTCCTTAATCTTCGTGGGGTTTATTTCCCACCCTCTCGTGCGCGTGTCTTTTACTAGGACTTCCAACAGCTTGCCACATCCTATGTACTAGATCTAATAAACATGATTTTATCAATATAAATAGATCAGCACGATGGCCCTGAAGACATCACTGTGACAAAAAGTAGATGATTAACATAGACCAGTGACAAGACGCTGAACACATTTTGCAGTTCTTCCACATAAGAGATCTGCTTTTGACCCTTCTTGTTAATGGGGATTGAGGAAGAATTTGCCTAACTTATAGCCACATACAAAACACTGGAGGCTGTGTTGATTAATCTTAGTGAAGACACTTCATCCAACAAAGCAGCGGAAATGGGAGCTCTCTCGTGTGTTTGGTCATCTACCATGATTCACCTGGCTCTCACAGGGGCCACAGAGATAAGATAAATGGCAATGAGGTGGGGACAACCACCCTTGCGTCCTTAAAGTCTTTGATGTTCGTCCTAATCTCAGCAATTTCTCCCAAGATCCAATATTGTCTCTGATTTATGACCTTGGCCAGGGAAGGGTGGCAGTTTCCAACCTTGACCCTTACCATTGTGGTTTTCATTCCATCCCATTTATGACACCTCAATTGTACCATATCCATCCCACCCACACATTTGGGGACAGAAATTATCCCAGGACCTACTGACCATTGTGAGCCAGACTTACTTGTACCATCCATTTATTACCTAGCCTCCATCCCTCATCCCCCTTGACTGGAGAGCCTTGGCAGCATTTCAGGTCTCCCAATACAGGCATCAAGTCAAAACCCAGATTCAAAAGCCTTCAAATCACCTTTCCTCGATGCGTTATTCCAGATTGGGGAAGTATTATTATAAGTACTGATGGTGATATCACAGGATTCTTAAAGACACCAACCTCCCTCCTGTCAATGGACTTTCATCTGTGAAACTGGCTTACAGAAACCGGGTGAAGGACTAGAATTTCCCATTATAGTGGTTGACATAAGCTTTTTATGCTCCAATTATTATTTTATTATTTTTAATTTTGACAAGTTGATTAAAATCCTGATTGGCTGCCCATCTGTCTTAACCCTCAGAACACATAATCTATTAGCTACAGCCAGACTGCCACCTGGGCCTTGCTGTACATCATGGAAATTATACTCATCTGGCCTCTGATGGCTACGTGCTGCCACCTGTCCCCTGCTCATCTCAAATCTTAACCCAATAACAGTAGAAATCCCAGGTCTATGGTAGCATCTCCCGATGCCAACCCAACTTTCCGGACAAGTATTACTGACCTTCTCAAGGATGCCAGGACTCCTTCCCTAGCAACTTCTTTTTGCTTTAGTGAAGACAGTGCCCTCTAAGTTATCCTGGGGATCATAGATGGGTGGCATGTTCTCCAGGCTCACACGATAAATCCATTCTAAGACACTCACTTCTATAAACCCTCCAACCCTTTCCTGAATACACTACTCCAAAGCAATTCTGGCATCTCCTCCTCATTTACTTCTGGTGATCGCTGGGTCCACTTCAAAGGGGCTATCCCAGCAGTGAATTAGGAACAACTTCAGATCTCCTTACCGTGATATTAAATATTAAACCCTATTTCTAGTCACAGCCCTAGTCCAACACCCTCAAGACACTCCCACCTCAATTTCACATATTCTAAGCTGAGTCTTGTAATTATTTTGATGAGTAATCTATTTCTTCCCACAGCAGGAACCATATTTCCCTGTTCAGGCTGGGCTGTAATCTGACCCTAGTCATTGGTCTGGAAATAATCAGGGGAAGTGGGACAGAGGTTGACCTGAACCATTTCTGACACATTTGCCTCAGGTATGGCCTTTGGTGGTCTCCAGGAAGGAAAGGGATAGCTGTGCTCCTTTAGCTGAGGAGTGGAGGCTTCTTCTGCCTGCCCGAAGAGTTCAGGAGAATGTGGGGGCATCCAAGGTCCTATCTTTGACTCAGGTTTGAGTCCCTTTCTTTCCTGATGAAAGTCTTGATTTTTGCAAAAGTAACCTCCTGAGGATGTACCTTGTCTCCTTTGCAACTCTGCCACTCTTGCACAAGGAAATCTTGGGTTTGAAATTCAGCACATTCTACTCAAGTTGTAAATCAGTCTCTTTAAACTGTGCTACGAAGGTCTTCTGGTTTTATTTATTTGAGACAGGGTCTCGCTTTGTTGCCCAGGCTGGAGTGCAGTGACATAATCTTGGCTCACTGCAGCCTTGACCTCCTGGACTCAAGCGACCCTCCCACCTCAGCCTCCTGAGTAGCTAGGACTACAGGCATGCACCACCATGCTGAGCTAATTCTTAAATTTTATGTAGAGATGGTGTGTCACTATGTAGCCTAGGCTGGTCTTGAACTCCTGGGGTTAAGTGATCCTCCTGCCTCAGCCTCCCAAAGTGCTGGGATTACAGGGATGAGCCATCGTCCCCAGCCACCTTCTGGTTTTTATATTAAATAGCATGCCAAAAATTGATGGTTGGCTGACAAGCCTGCCATTTGTTGTTTTTTGTTTGTTTTTGAGACAGGGTTCTTGCTCTGTCGCCTGGACTGGAGAGCAGTGGTGCAATCATAGCTCACTGCAGCCTCCAACTCCTGGAGTTCAAGTAAACCTTCTGCCCCAGCCTCCTGAGTAGCTGGGGCTACAGGTACACTACCACATCTGGCTAATTTTTTAAGTTTTTGTAGAGATGGGGGTCTCACTATGTTGACCACCCTGGTCTCAAAGTCCTGGTCCCCAAATGATTCTCTCACCTTGACTTCCCAAAGTTGGGATTAGAAGTGTGAGCCACTGCACCCCACCAAGCCTACCATTTTTAAAAAGGCTTTCCATGGCTGTTAATATACATCAGCTGGGTGGGGTGTGGTGGCTCAGGCCTGTTATGCCAGCACTTTGGGAGGCCAAGGCAGGTGGATCACTTGAGCTCAGTAGTTCGAGACTAGCCTGAGAAACCTCGCAAAACCCTATCTCTACAAAAAATACAAAACTTAGCCAGGCACAGTGGTACGTGCCTGTAGTCTCAGCTACTCAGGAGACTGAGGTGGGAGGATCACTTGAGCCCAGGAGGTCAAGGCTGCAATGAGCCAAGATCCCACCACTGTACTCCAGCCTGGGTGACAGAGTGAGACCATATATCAAAAAACAAAAAATAATAATAATAAAAAGAAGTCAGCCCACTCAACGACTCTCATCAAAAACAAAAAAATCTAAACTCATGTCACAGTGCAGTGGCTAATGCCTATAATTCCAGCACTTCGGAGGGCCAAGGCAGGAGGACTGCTTGAGGCCAGGAGTTCAAGACCAGCGTGGGCAACATAGTGAGACCCTCGTTTTAAAAAAACAATTTGCTGGGCATAGTGACACGCCTGCAGTCCCAGAAAGGTGGGAAGATCACCTGAGCCCAGGAGTTTGAGGCTGCAGTGAGCTATGATTGCACCATTGTATTCCACCCTCAGTGACACAGTGAGACTTTATCTCTAAAAAAAAAGAAAAAAAAAATTAACTCGTAATTTGGAAGACTAAGGAATCAGAGACAATTAAAAACCCAGTTATTACTTAACATTGCATTTCTTATACCTCGCCCTTACTTTGACCATCTTCAATGTTCTTCTACCTAATGTTTATTTAAAGACCACTAAAGACAGCTGTGGCTCTGCTGGATGAAACAGGTCTATCCCAGGATAATATTTTTCCAAGTCTTTGCCAGTCTCTGTCTTCAGTTTTCTCTTCTCTCATTCTGAGAGCTGCAACAATCAGATCTTTCCAATAAACACCTCTCCTTGAGAGCCCCTGCTCATATGGTGTTTTGTTTCATTTGCAATATATGTATGTTACATGTAGGGATGGCCTTCAGGGAAAGGTATGGGGTGGCTAGAGACAGATGCCACCATCTTTTTCTCTTCCTTCTTCATTTTTACTGGAAGCATTTAGCCAGCCATCCAAGTTGGGTAGCTGTTTGTCGTACCACTGGCATGCCACAGCCTCATCTGTCTAAGGGAAGTGAAGCAGAGCTGAGTTTGACATATATGACAATATCCATTCTAATTTATGTATCTCAAAATGATCCACTGGAATCAACCATCAAAAGCAAAAGCTTCTAAACTTTATTCACACTTGAGTTGCATCTCTGCACCACCACTGCCAATGTTTTGCCATGTCATGGGCAGTCAACGAGGAGCAGGGGAGGAGAGACCAGGCTGATTTCTACCTTGTTGGGAACACCATCATGGTGTCTGTAGATGGTCACTAGAGAAACATAAAAGATAAAAACCCAGGCTGTGCTCTCAACAGGGTAGAAGCTTCCCCATTAAGCCCAAGTCTAGGCAGCTGCTTCCCTCCACAGGGATGGACCTGGCCTTGCTGGGAGGAACGCCCACACCAGGACCTCTGGAAGCAGTCCCAGGGGCTTCAGCTCACATTATGTTCTTTCCATTTGGTGATAAATTCCTAACGCCTTACCCCATTTGTCTAACTGAATGCAGAGAGCAAATGCCATGGTTGAAATGCTCTCCTTCATGAATCAGCTCCTTCCCCAGGGCATTTTAAGATTTAGGAGTTTCAGTTCCCCTAGGGGGAAAAAAAAAAAAAAAGCTGCTCTACACATGAAGAGACTTAATTCTAACACACTGCACAGTGAAACTACAGGCTTATAGAAGAGCTTTCTGGGCCAGCAAGCATAGTCTTCCTTTCTATGCCAACAGCATGAAGGCAGCTGAATTATCAAATGACGACATCTTGAAAGCATCCTCCTTAATGCTGAAAAAACAAAATCTTAGGAAACACCAGGGAGTGGTTATAAAGCACAAAGCAATTTCAAAACAAGAGTGATAAGAAAGGATGGCTAAGAGCCAAAGCTACTACTAAGACCCTGAACCTAAGGAATTCCATTCAGATCTCTCAGAAGGCAGGAAGTCACAGTTGGACTTCCCCAGGATTTGGGACAACTCACCAGCCAGGCAGACGCCCTGGGTCTGTACCTAGGGCAGAGTGCCTCCTCTTTTTTCCTCTCCCAGAACCACCCAAATACACAAGGTGAATGAACTTTTCTTTGTGATTCTTAAAGTTCCTCAAGGGGAAAAAAATTCACAAAATACATATCATAAGCATTTCCTTTAAACCATTTTCTGCCAGGTCCTTACTCCAGCTTGTGGGGTCTCCCTTGGTGGCAGAGCTCTGGGTTTGTCTGCCACTTACTAGATAAGGGCCAGACTCGGAGGGGTCACTGAATGGTGCCTTGACTTCAACTGAAGAACCCTGAACATACCAAACCAGACCAGAAAATAGCCTTTAATTTTACACGTACAAATGTTGCTGTAAATTCATAACAGCGAAGAAAACTATATACAAACCAGTTTAAAAGGAAAAGTAAAAAACAATCCACAGTTAAGCAGTTGATATGCAAATCATCCCAGGAATCCAACTTTCTGTCTCTTGGGTCCCAGGCTTTCTTCCTTGTGCAAAACACTCTGCAAGGAGGCATGCAGCACTTTGCCCACACGCTTGCCAGTCTGTGGAGAAGGGACAGGAGAGAGCACACACCCCCTTGTAAGGCACACACACTCTGACCAGAAAAGCTTCCCTTTCTGCCAGGTAGTCTTTCTGACATTGTACACATTCCATCTGCCTTAGAGGACTTTTATTTAATTAAAGCAAATTAAAACAAAAACAAACCACAAACCCCAACAACATAATAAATTTTGGAAAAATCGTATCAAAAATAAATAAATAAATAAATAAAGACACCAGCCCCCACCAGGCAGCAAACAGGGAGCAGCAAAGCCTGCCCTGGCCATTAGTTCATGCTTCACAATCCTGCTGCCACTGCAATAAGAAACAAAGTTGTCAACCAAATCTGGGCTTGGGTATAGCCAGGTTGACACTGTACTACAGTGAGAAGGAATAGGGAGACCAAAGGGAATCCAGAGTGTGTCTGGAGAAGAAACAGATGATGCCAAGGACATTTTAGTAAGCAGCTTCTCATTCACCTCCCACACAGCCTCTAAGCAGAACTGCTCAGGTGTGACCAAAGTCAGTACCTGGATGGGATCTTTGGTGTTACTGCCATGCTGAGATGTTAAAGGCAGTCAAATGTTGGAATCAAAACACATCAAGAGGGACAACCCACAAAATAATCAGTCCCTACACAGCAGACACAAGAGGTCCTAAAACAAAACAAAACAAAACAAAACTCAGTATGACTGGGAGTGGTGGCTCATGCTTGTAATCCCAGCACTTTTGGAGGCCAAGGCAAGAGGATTTTGCTTGAGGCCAGGAGATCAAGACCAGCCTGGGCAACAGAGTGAAACCCCATCTCTACAAAAAACTAAAAAATTAGCTGGGCATGGTGGTATGCGCCTGTAGTCCCAGTTACTCAGGGGCTGAGATGGGAGGATTGCTTGAGCCCGGGAGGTCAGGGCTGCAGTGAGCTGTGACTGTGCCACTGTACTTCAGCCTGGATAACAGAGCAAGACCCTGTCTCAACAACAACAACCCCAATATAAAAAAAATATTTTTCTTTATGAAACTGTTATTTTATCTGTCTCTGGGCCCAAGAATCATTTTAAGAATACGAAGAACCAACCACAAATCTCTACCTTATCAAGTATTTCACATTCCCATAGGAGTCTGGATTCAACTCTGCCACTGGTTCCATTCTCAGCAATGTTGGGATAAAGACATCCATGCCTAAATCCCTGCCTCAATCTTTTCAGTTACAGGTGTATTCTCCCCAGAGTAACGACCTGTGTGTCTTCTCCCCCGGCCCCTAACTGTAACATGGGATGAGATCCCAAGTATGACTAAAACTCTTATGAAAAGATGATTTCAATCTAAAAGGCTGGGAAGTGATCACCTCTATGAAATGCAAAGTCAGGGTTAAAGGTCAAAAAGCCCTTTGGGGGCCAGACACGGTGGCTCAAGCCTGTAATCCCAACACTTTGGGAGACTAAGGCAGGCAGATCACGAGGTCAAGAATTCAAGACCAGCCTGGCAAACATAGTGAAACCCCGTCTCTACTAAAAATACAAAAAAAATTAACTGGGAGTGGTGGCGGGCACCTGTAATCCCAGCTACTTGGGAGGCTGAGGCAGAATCACTTGAACCAGGGAGGCAGAGGTTGCAGTGAGCTGAGATCGCACCACTGCATTCCAGCCTGGACGATAGTGTGAGACTTCGTCTCAAAAAAAAAAAAAAAGGGCCTTTGGAAAGATTTTCCCATAACATTAGAAAAAGAAAAAAGTCTGAGTCTGTCAAATAGGGGTACTGATTATTCATATACATGAGGGTGGAGAGGGAGGACAAGAGGAGATGAGATGGACAGGATGCCAGGACTTGAGAAGGACTTGATGCCTCTGAATCCAGATACAAGAAAGCAACTGCAGAGGTTGGGGGTGGCAGCCTGCACAACCACCCGCCAGGCTCTCAGCAACACCAGTGAGTCACTTCCAGATTGCTGCATCCCTGTGTGAGATAAACAGTAAGACAGGGCCACAGAGCTACAGTCCCCTGTCCAGAGTTAGCAGACCTCATCCCCCAAACCTGAGGGGAGGACAAAGCTCAACTCACTGAACAGAGCTCCAGTTCTGCCATCCAGGACAGCCATGGAGATCTGGTTTATAAGGCTGACATTGCACAGGGGCTGGGAGCAGTGGCTCTGGACGCACACAGTCTGGGTTTAAATCCTAGCTCCAGTATTTATGAGCAGGGAGGCCTGTATGCAAGCTGCTTATCCTCTGTGTGCCTCAGTTTCCTCATCTGTAAAAATGAGGACAATAGTTACCTCACAGGTTGCTGAGGACTAAATGATGTATTTAAAGCAGTGAAAACAGTATCTGGCACATAGTACGCACACAATAAACTTTAGCTATTTGTTTACTGTGCTTGTTGTTATTTAGAGAAATTCTCATAAACTCTCCTGGGAGGGGGAACAGTACCTTCTAAAACAAGGTTTGACGGTCCCTTGTCTAGAGGCCTTTGGTAGACTTTATGCAGCATTAAATCTGGAGAAATCTGAACTCAGGGTGCTTCACGGAGCACAGAGAATAAGAGCTGCCATTAGCTGAGAACTGATGACGTTATCAGACACTGTGACACGTGCTTCACCTCTACACCTCACATCACCCTAATAACCACCTCTGCAGTGTCTGAGGCAGATATTACTATTATCAGTCCCACTTTGCAGATGAGGGGGACTATGGCCCAGAGCCAGGTTTGCAGCCAGGGCAGTACACCCTCACAGCCCACGGTTGGGAACTCCATGCTATATACAGTGCTCATTTTGGCCTTTTAAATTTTAAAGATGATGAAGAAAATAGATGTCATGTTCTTGGATTCTTCGGTAAGAAGTCATTGTTTCTAAACACAAAGGAAGAGTGCTTGCTATTAAGCAATGATCTCTGGGCATGTGTGATGATATAGAGGTTACAAGAAAGTATGAATAATCAGATCCAGCTAACTCTGTTTCTGGAAGTTCAGTCAGTCAATCAGTCAGAAAGGTGAGGTGGATGTAGGGGAAGGAAGGTCTGGGAAACAGGTGAGCAGGACCCTGTCCCTTCCTGCGGGGCTTCCAGGCCAGTGAGGTGACAGACATGTAGGGCAAACAGTACAGAAAACTATGGAAGTGCCCTGATGGCTCTGCCAGTGATGGGGGCAACCCACTCCTACTCCAGCGGGTCGGATTTCTCACCATCCCTGCTTGTCTCCATTTAAACACTTCTAGAGCAGTAATGAATTTGGCAGACAGCCACATTTCAGCCCCTGCTTCTATCTTTACTCGCCCACTTCAAGGGACAGGAAGCAGTGAGCCAAGAATTCTATTCCCTCATCAAGTTACAAAGGCCTGCGATTTTGGAGTTACGAGCGGCTCTTTACATTATCCAAGTCCAACGGTCTTATTTAGACACATAGAAATGAGATGGGGGCACTTACTGAGGATAAGAAATGGTTACTGGTAGGCTCCTTACCTCCCAGTCCAGAGTATCTACCCCCGCAACCCCCTTGATTAGGTCAGCAGACCCCTGGCTCAAACCAGCTGTTCTCCAACCTCCAGGTTTGGGGTCAAGGCTGTGAATGGGGAGAATTGCCATGGTGTGACCAAGGGAGCAGGAAGCAGCAGGCACCCAAGCCAGGTCCCCGCACCTTCCTCAGAACCAGGGCCTCACCTCCATCATCTCGAAGATGCTCTCTGGGTCCAGGCTGCCCTTCCCCACTTTCCTCATGCACGTCACAACTCCCTTGCTGGTCACCGATACCAGCAAGCTGGCCAGCGAGCAGGCCTCCTCCTGAAGAGTAGCATCCACCACATGCCGATAGCCAATCTGCAAAGGCAGGGCGCACAGCACACAGTGGGTCACGCAGGCCTCAGAGCCCCACCCTTCATGGCCTCGTGGTGGGAATCTCTACACCAGGCAAAGTACCCGCACTGGTCATTCCAGGTCTTATTTTAGATTCTGCTCATGAGGAAAATAGTTAAAGGAATGTTCAACAATTCTCACAGGCCACTGTGTGGGTGGTACAATAAAAACATGACATGGAAAAACAGGGCAAGGGGGTTTAAAACTAGAATTCAGAGACCATCCAAGGCAAAGGCCACCAGGGCTTTCCAACAGAGGGGCACAAGGGAGAAATTAATACACAAAGCCACATGGACGTTTCACTGATGGCAAGGGAAATCAAGAGGGTCCATGCTAAGGGACACACTCAAGAACAAGCCAAAGGCTGGGCGCAGTGGCTCATGCCTCCCAGCACTTTGGGAAGCTGAGGAAGATGGATTGCTTGAGCTCAGGAGCTTGAGACCAGCACAGGTAACATGGGCAAGACCCCATCTCCACCAAAAATACAAAAAAATAGCCAGATATGGTGGTGCGAGCCTGTGCTACCAGCTACTTGGGAGGCTGAGGTGGGAGGGTTGCTTGAGCTTGAGCCTGGGCAGGTGGGGGAGTTGCAGCAGAGGTTGCAGTGAGCCTAGATTGTGCTACTGCACTCCAGCCTGGGCGACAGAGCAAGATCCTGTTTCAAAACAAATAAACAAGAAAGAACAAGCCGGCTAGGTGTGGTGGCTCATGCCTGTAATCCCGGCACTTTGGGAGGCTGAGGTGGGCGGATCACCCAAGGTCAGGAGTTTGAGACCAGCCTGGTCAACACGGTGAAACACCGTCTCTACTAAAAATACAAAAATTAGCCAGGCATGATAGTGCGTGCCTGTAATCCCGGTACTTGGGAGGCTGAGGCAGGAGAATTGCTTGAACCTGAGAGGCAGAGGTTGCAGTGAACCGAGATCACACTATCGCATTCCAGCCTGGGTGTTGCAGCAAGACTGTCACAAAAAAAAAAAAAAAGAAAAAAAGAAAAGAAAGAAGCCAAGACCCAACATCCTGCTGTCTGAACACTTCACCACATTCTGTTCATGAAGTGATCTCAGTGGAATTAAACCTGACCTGTTTAGCTTTATTTTGAGATAATGAATCCTGAGTGGAATTAGCTACAATCCCAGCCAATAGCCAATACAGGCCTCTTTGCACAGCCTGGAGCAGCATTAGTTATATGTCACATCAGCCTGATATTCAGCTCCACTGCCCTCTGTTCAGCTCCACAGCCCTCTATGTGAAAACCACTCCTGATACCCAAGACCTGCTCCAACCTCCCATTTCATAGGGTGGACAGTGTTCACCACCCTCCACTACTCAACCACCCTAGACCCCATAGAGTTGAGGGAATTAAAGGACATGGTGCTTTAGTGAAGTGCACGGTATGCGGAAGGAGCTTAACAAACTCTGGCTACTATTACTACAAACACACTCATGGCTCCAAGGATCACGTTGTATCTTCCAATTAAAAAGAAAAGAAAGAGCTACTCATGGTAGTGGTTTCTAATATAACCAAATTATTGGATTTGGGTAAAAGCTACTTCTATATGGTATGTGATATTACAACTTCTTAACCTATTAAGTAACCTCAGCAGGTTGGCATTGAGGAGACCCACACCCACAGGGAAGACAAAAAACATAAAACACAAGCTTATACCTTGCACAGAGTGACAATACAGGGGACATTCTCCACACTTAGTCGTATGCAGTCATAAGGGTCATCAGACAATTCGATGTCCTTCGACCCCTCTTCATCCTCCAGAACTCGAACTCTTGGTATGCTGGAAGCAGAAGCACAATTAAAATTCCCACTTACTGGGAGGAGAAAAAATAACTTCTTTTTAAGATTGAGAATAGGAGTTGGAATCCCTGTGTCTCACAAGAGAAAGATACACTATGCCTATTCTTTATCATCCTCATCCCTGTCATCCCTGTCAAAAGCACACAGGAGGCACCACAATGCAATGAGGAAAGGCATCTTTTAGAAAATGATGCTGGGTCAATCAGATATCCCAATGGAAAAAAAAAGAATCTCAATCCCTACCTCACACCACACACACAAAGCCATATGAAATAGACCATAGATATAAAAATGAAAGATAAGACAATAAAACTTTTAGAAAAAAACATCTACATGACCTTGGAGTAGATAACTATTTCTTGAACAGGATTCACAAAGGGAAAAAAGTTATATATTCAATTATATATGTGTATATATATTATATATATTTACTAACATATATCATTTATATTATATAAATATATATCATGAACTTCTTTATATCAGAAGACATTATTTAAAAACTAAAAATGTAATCTGGATGGAGAAAATACTATCTGACAGATTACATGAAGAATTCCTATTAAAAAAGACAGCCCAATAGAAAAATGGGCAAAAGACTCAAACGTAGAATATATTTGGATGTCTTCATAAAAGAGGCTGTCCGAGTAGCCAATAAAATCTATTAAAAATGCAAATTAAAACTACACTGTGATACCAAGGCACACTCACCAAAATAATTATTAAAAAAAAAAAAAAAAAAAAAAAGGCTGGGCACAGTGGCTCATGCCTGTAATCCCAGTACTTTGAGAGGCCAAGTCGGGAGAATCACCTGAGGTCAGGAGTTCAAGACCAGCCTGGCCAAGATGGCAAAACCCCATCTCTACTAAAAATACAAAAATTAGCTGGGTGTGGAGGCACACACCTTTAATCCCAGCTACTTGGGAGGCTGAGGTAAGAGAATCGCTTGAACCTGGGAGGGGGTGATTGCAGTGAGCTGAGATCATGCCACTGCAGTCCAGCCTGGGAGACAGAGTGAGACACCATCTCAAAAAAAAAAAAAAAAAAAAGTAAGGGTTGACAAAGATGTGAAACAACCCAGAACTCTTATATACACTGCTGGTGGAAGTGTTAACTGGTAAAACACTTTGTGAAACTGGCAACATCTACAGTAACTAAAGATAGCCATACCCTATAACCCAGAACACTCTTCCCCAACAGAAATAGAGAAATATGTGCACCAAAGACATGCACAAAAATGTTCATGATGCCCATCCCTATTTGTAATAGCCTCAAACTGGAAACGAACCAGACGGCCATCAACAGTAGACTGATAAACAACAGTAGACTGTACAGTAGACTGGATAAACAGCAGACCGGACAAAGTCACACAATGGAACACCATACAGCAAAAAGCAAGCTATGACTAAGGCAGCGACACAGATCTCTCAAAGCACAATGCTCAGTGAATGAGGCAGACACAAAACAGAACATAGTATATGATACCATTTATATCAAGTACAAAAGTAATCTATTCTTTTAAGATGCTGGTTATCATCCGTGAGTGTAATTGCACGGGGGTACAGAAGGTGTGGGATGCTTCTGGGGTGCTGGCAACATTCTGTTTCTTTAGCTGGGTACTAAAAAACACATTTAACCTATAAAGTCAATTCACTCCAGGATAGGGTGGAGGAGCCAGGAAGGAAGAGGTGGTCCATCCAGCTCCTGCAATGGAAATAGCATTGGTACTTTTCCCAGTTCCTCTAACAAAAGCCCCCCATGATTGAGCCCTGCTGGGCATCCATACACAAGGCAGCATCTATATCATATCACGGGAGCTTCAGCCAGAGAATGTCCACAAGGGCCAAGGAGTTCTGTAAGGGTCTTCCCCAGTTGGAGCCTTCCCATCAGGGGAAGTTCTTAAATACTAAGTAATATCCTATTTGAACAAGTCAGTCAACCATTTACGCTACAACATGACTAGGCAGAAGGACTAAAGAATACCCTCAGGTGGCCTTTACCCTTCTAAAGGACCCTGAATATGCCAACAGTCTCTCCACATACCAGGGGGACTCGATGCCTTAGAGTCCCCATTCCTTGCTGCCTGCAGGGCTGTTCTTGGTCTGAGGATGAGACTATGGCTGTGCCCATGACAGGTGTCCTCCCCTACCTGAGCAGCTGGGTTAACCTTTCTGGCATACAGTTTGCCCAGTACCTCCCCAACAGCTAAACAACCTTGTGTGGTTCCCAATCTCTCTTTTTGCCTGGGTGCCTATAGTAACCAGCTGGCAGATGAGGAGTCATTTCTGAGGCTCGAGATACATCAGATGACAACTTCCTTTCCTTCCCCAACAGGGCCCAAGCACCAGCCACTGTTGTGGGATCTGGCATGCAAGCTCCCACAGTGGCCAAGAGTGCCAGGCTCACATTTCAAATAGTCTCAACAAGGAGCCTAGAGGCGTAACTAGGGGTGGGGGACTCTACAGCTTTCATTTTCAACAAATACTCCAGCCTGCAATTTTTGTCTATTCTAAATTACACAGGGAGTCTAAACTCATCATAGAAAAGCTCTAAAAAACAGATAAATGTTAAGTTGGCCAAAATATGAGCACTGAAAAATAATTACAATGACCACTTAGGGGTACATATTTATTTCCAGACATATTAAATATAAGAACTACCAAAGTAAAATATAACAAACAAACAAAAACCAGGATGAGGGGATGGCATTTAGTGAGTGATTTTCCATAATAACCTGCCTTTAAATAGGCTGCTGTGCGGACTTCGATCCCCTACATTGTGAAACTCAGGTTGTTTCCAGTTTCTTACCATTACAAAGCAGCTGTGATGAACATCCTAGAATAAACATCTTTGCTCATTTATTCAATTATGTCCTTAGGTTATATCCCTAGAAGTTTCTAATCCTCATTTTTTAATAGGATCCTCTGTTACCTTAACGTAGGCTCTCTCATAGGATGAACACCCTATCCCACGTATTTACTCATAAATGCTGCAAATTTTCCTCAAAGTACTTGGAGCATAGAAGGGGGAATAATAATCAGTCAGGATAAATGTCAACTCCAAAAAACCGTAGCAATTTGTCCCTTCTACACAACCTGTTTGGAAAGATGAACCACGTGGAATAGCCATTTCCTCTTCTTAAGCCAAAGGGAAGGCTGTTACCCTGCTTTCAGAACATACATGTGTACAATCAAGCAATATGCAAGCACTTACTATGTTTCAGGCACTGTTCATGGTGCTAGGAATATAGGCAAGGACAAAACAGGAAAATCCTTGCCCCCATAGAGTTCACCCAGTAATAGTATTTGGATAGTTGGCCTGTAGGTGGCGTCTACTCTTTTTGGCTTCTCTGTAGTTTTCTAATATTTTTCTAAATGGTAGATGTCTATAAAAATAACAATACAAAAAATAAATACAGAATATACGTATATATGTAGTTTTAAGTTACGAAATCTATCTTTTCTGGAGTTTAACGTTAGATGTCACCATTTTCAATGTTAAAACCTGCTGTTATCTTCACATATGAGCTACAGTAGAAATTTTTCTCAGTGTTCCATTACAAGTGTCTGCCCTGGTTCTCCACAGGTTTGCAGAGCTGTTTCCAGGAAGACTTACCTTGTATTGAAGAGAGCAGCCTTTACAGCAATGGAAATGGCATCAAACAAATTTCCACCACATTCCAGCAGCTAAGGGAGACAGGGATTGAAAAAGGAAAAAAAAACGAGCATCATATATTACTTTAAGTATTGCCCCAGTTAAAGGACACTGCTTTTTTTTTTTTTCCGAGACAGAGTTTCGCTCTGTCACCCAGGCTGGAGTGCAGTGGTGCAATCTTGGCTAACTGAAACCTCTGCCTCCCAGGTTCAAGCAATTCTCCTGCCTCAGCCTCCTGAATAGCTGGAATTACAGGTGTGCGCCACCACTCCCAGTTAATTTTTGTATTTTTAGGGTTTCACCATGTTGGCCAGGCCGGTCTTGAACTCCTGACCTCAAGTGATCTGCCTGCCTCAGCCTCCCAAAGTGCTCGGGTGTAGGCATGAGCCATCACACCCGGCCAGGCACTGATTTTTTTTTTTTTTCCCAAAACTATTCTGTGGTCAAGGACACTGATTTCTAAGAAATGCTGACTGTGTGTTTATAAAATAAAGATAACATGTGGCTGCTCTCCTGGCTAGCCATGCAATGACTGCAACTCACTGACACAGTCCTTCACCCTAATTACAAGCACTGCCTTGTAATGGCTGTGCTTATGTGGCCCACGCACACAAGGTCACAGTTGACCAGGGCTGTGGTACCAACACTCAGAGGCCATGGCTTGTGGTGTGCTCCTCTCATAGGCACTTCAGGCAGTTGGGGCTGCCCTGAAGGTGGGACTGATCACCTTTATTTTGCCCCAGATAGCTCCCAATTGTACTCCAAGTGTCACTCCAATATTTGCTAAGACATGCCTGGCCTCCAAACAAGGAGAAAACACTGACCACTGATGTTGCGGCTGCTCCTAGGTTCACATTCACTACTGTAATTACCTCTCGTACATAACGATCAATGTATATCTGACACTCAGACATTAAATACTACATGTTTTACATTATTTATAATGAAGACTAAGGTCTCTCAGACAAGCTTCTGCCCATGAGCAAAAGTGTTGAGTGCACTTATGTGTGCTCATCTAGCAGGGAAAATTAGAGCACATTTAACTGGAAGGTGGCATATCCTTCTGTCCTCATTTTAGAGAGGCCTCGGCCTGAGGTTATGGAATAAAGCCGACTGGGCTGCCCCAAATAAGAAAGGTGAGAAGTCACACAGAGAAAGAAAAGCCATGTATTACTGTTTTTGTTTAGAGTCTCTCTCTTCTTCAGTTGAACTGTGAACTCCTTAAAGGCTGGGACTCTGTAGTTCTGTTCATCCTTTTATCCCCAGAGCCCAACAGAAGGGCTGTTATAAAGAATGTTGGTGATTATTTGTGGAAGAACCCATCAAAAGACAGCCTTGTGACCAATCACCCCACCAAAGGTCAGCTGTGTGTTGTTAGTGCAACAAAGTTCTAACAGTTATCCCTCTTGGAGTAAAAACTGATGCCATCAGAGAACTATAAAGAGCAAAGCAAAGTGAAATTTCCGTGAAGTTAAATTTTCACTCTCATAAAATAACCAAACTCGGGAAAAAAACAATACTGGAAACAGGTGGGTTATCTGACTGTAACAGGTTTGAAGTAAATAAGTATAAAAACATGGCAGGGTGCCCAGCAAATATCTGTTTGAACATGGGCTCTGTCTGAGGACTACCCAGACAAGTTGGCAAAAAGAAAATAGGAGATTTATTTTCCACTATCCTGCTTCAAGGATTGCCTCACAGATTTCCACCACCTCGCTTCAAACATGGACTCAATCTACTCAGTATATCACCCATCCACTGATGAAAATTATGTGAATGCCAAAAATGGATCGGCCTCATTAATAATATCATTTTCAAAAATGCTTTTCTAATTCATTAAAAACTTTTCTGAAGATGACAACTTTTTTTTTTTTTAAAGATGGAGTCTCACTCTGTTGCCCAGGATGGAGCACAGTGGCACCATCTTGGCTCACTGCAACCTCCGCCTCCCAGGTTCAAGCAATTCTCTTGCCTCAGTCTCCCCAGTGGCTGGGATTACAGGTGTGCACCACCATACCCAGCTAATTTTTGTATTTTTAGTAGAGACAGGGTTTCATCCTGTTGTCCAGGCTGGTCTCGAACTCCTGACCTCAGGTGATCCATCTGCCTTGGCATCCCAAAGTGCTGGGAATACAGGCGTAAGTCACTGGACCTGGTCAGAAAATGACAACATTTTCAAAGTTCATGTCTTCTTCCAAAATAAGCAAAACCCTTTAAAAAATATTTCAGAAGAAATCCAAATGCCAGGAGTCTTAAAAATAAAGGTCTACAGATGACAGGGACACAGTGCACATTCCCCTGGATACTCCTGTGCACCATGTATCCCCTGCTCACTGAAGAGGGCTGCTTCTGAGCTGAGATAATGTCCCAATATTCATCAGTTTTGTAAAAGCCTTCCCTAATAGAATAGGCTTCTGTTACTTTGACTTTAACTGACTGAATCAAAAGCACATCAGTCCCCATCAGTGGGCCATCCTACAAAACTACAAGTGTGCATGAATACTGAGGATGAACACAGAAGGATTACAAAAGGACAAATGCAGTGCGCCACAACACTTGTGTCTTAACTTTCTCTAGTGGAGAAGGGGAGTGGACATAATGTTCTTCAGACACAGGATGGAACCTGAGAGTTCATGCCATGGAGCTGCACCTCCCTGGGCAACTATGAAGCCTGCCTCTACCATCCTCAGTAAGGACTACAGGCTGCCAGTTCTCACTTCCTCAAAACCAAGACCTGAAAAACTGCCTGCTTAGTAGGAATCACACTACAAGGTGCATCACACTTATGAGAGACAGAAAAAGCAAATAGATTTGTAATTTCATTATTTTTACCTATTAGTGGTAGCATTGCAACAGTAACCTGCTAGATAATGGTTACCACTGCTACCTTTTGACTATGCTCCATCCAATATCAAATTAATTTAAAAATATCTAGAAAGTTCCACCCTGTTTCAGTAGAGCCAACATGCAGAGCCAGGCTGTTTCTTTTCATGAAGTTCACTGTCAGTTCACAGATCTCCTTTATCTGCACATTCATTAAATAATCTATTTGGCCAATAGCTTAGCTTTGTGTCCTTAATCTGAAGTGGAAGATGTAGCTGCTAATCTCAAGGTTCACAAAATTTAACAAAAAGGAATAAAACAGACCCAACAAGATCCTGTATATAAACAAGCAACCAACTGCTACAGGATTATACAAAAGCAAAATTAAGGCCAGGCACGGTGGCTCGCACCTGTAATCCCAGCACTTTGGGAGGCCGAGGCAGGTGGATCACTTGAGGTCAGGAGTTCCAGGCAAGCCTGGCCAACACGATGAAACCCTATCTCCACTAATAATACAAAAATGAGCCAGGCGTGGTGACTTGTGCCTGTAGTCTCAGCTACTCAGGAGGCTGACACATGAGAATCGATGGAACCTGGGAAGCAGAGGTTGCAGTGAGCCAAGATCACGCCACTGCACTCCAGCCTGGGTGACAGAGCGAGACTCCATCTCAAAAAAACCCAAAATTAATTAGAGCTACACAGGGAAGTTACTGTCGAGTGCCAAAACATGTGTAGAGGAGTATTTGGGAGGCAAAGTACAAGGGAGGAAATGGAAGGCTGGACTCAAAAGGCTCCCAGGTGAGTAGACTCTGTGTGGGAGGAGGCAGGGCCTCTGGGGCCTCACCCAGGAAACTAGGGGCAGGCAGGCTCTGAGGTGTTTAAAAAAACGATGGCACAGTGAAGTCACACCAGGTGTTCACATCATACAGACCTGGCTTTGAGACTCAACAGCATCACTCACAAGCTGAGACCTCTTGGGCTAGTTACTTAACCTCTCTATGTGTTAGTTTCCTCACTTATAAATGGGAAATATAACAGTGTCCATTTGCAACAGGTTTATAATGTTTAAATGAAAATGCATGTAAAGAGCTTATCATCCTTTCACACAGAATGTACCAACCTATTTAAATTCTGCCCATTAACTCTGTCTGGCACCATCCAGAGACCATCTCTTGTTTTATTCTTCCCAGACAACTTTTATGGGCAATTTTAGGTGCTACCATGATATGACTATAATTTTATTATAGAATGGCATTATATATATGCTGCTTACATCTATGTTGTATTTAATTTTTTAAAAAATTATTATAGGATACCATCTTTTCCCAACAAATCTCACCCTATAAGTTGAAAGCATCCACCTGAAAAGGAAAAAGGCACTGGAAGGAAAGTAGGCCAACTAGTCTTTCCAACAAAGGTAGAATGTGGCCAGTTCAGCAGGGTGATACTCACTAGCACATCCACATAGAGAACCCAGCAGTGCTCCCGAGGACTAATGCAGAGGGTCTTCAAGTCGACACTGCTTTTATTGTTAAATATCCGATAGAGGGTGTTAGCGATCTCGGTGCCAAGGTCATCACCTCCTCTACCTTCAAATTCAGGGGTAGCATTGGCTGAACTATACAAAACAGAAACAAAAAAACTGGGTGAGTCTTTCCAAGTGCAAAAAGCAAGGAGACAAGGCTTTATTCTGGTTTCCCTACAGAATGCTGGAAGAGCCAGCTGCTCAACAGAAAGTCACTGGGATGAGGAAAGGATGGCATCTGCCACTTTTCCTGACTCCAGACACATGTAATGAACCAGATCAGCACTGTGACCTGGATTTGTCAGCGTGTGTTATGGGATTTCCCAATAGCTTCTAACAGAAGCCATCTTTAGTCAAAGAGAAACAGGAGAGTGATGGTAATGTGAACCTCAGCTGATAATAATTAACTCTCTTATCTTCAGAGTATAATAAATACTCTTGTCTGGCAGGCCCAGGAAGCTGAGAGGCCTAGGGAATGAAGCAGTCTGGGTTACAGAGGGGTTTCATCATATACACCACCTCTAGTTTCACAGCTTTAGAATACACAAGATACTCTCAATATAAAAACCATAATGTCAGTACAATAACCTTTCTGGAATGACTTAAAAGACATGTATGATAGTCAGAAACTTTAGATATCACTGTACTGAAGAGAAGGAAAATGAAAGAAAGCAAGGGAAAGACTGTTGGCTCATAAGTAGTAGGTTACCTCCTTCATTTGACATTTTTCAAGAGGAAAACTTGTTTTTCCCTTTTTGGCTTCTTGATACTTATGCCCAATAACCTCAACAAAACTAACAGGATTCCACGTTAGCCACTGTAAAAACACTGAAGTGTTTAACAGGACGTTTCCGAGGGTTTTGGCTTAATACAAACAAACCCTTAATATGTATGTGAGGTAAGTAAACATTATAGTAATTATTTTACTCTAACAATAAAGGACTAGAAAGGTAAGAAGCCGGTGGTTTCAGCACAGACTCTGTAAAATCACATATTAAAGCCTTCTGACTCCTTGCCCATCTCGAAGGTACCCAGCCCTGCACCAGCTACCAGAGACCTAGAGACTAAGTGAGGCGGACGCGGACCCAAAGCCAGCGGTTCCAGTGAGGGAGGGCAGTTTCACGATAGGGAGCAAACAGTGAGGTGGAAGGGGGAGGGAGGCGCAAGAATGTCAATTAGCGTTCAGGTTTAAAGGAGACCTCAAACGTGGGATGAGCAGAGCTGGTCAGGCCAGAGAGGCAGGAAGATTACAGGCAAAGCAAAACCTGTGTGAAGGCCCATGGCAGTGCCCACCCAATTTGTATAACACTAAAAAAAACTCACTTAGTAATATAGGTGGAAGAATTAATCTTAAAATAATCAGACTACGTCGTTACATAAAATTTTGCCTCTCTAATTATATACTCTTCCTTTACCACTGTGAGCCAGCAGAATCCCCTTTAAGTCCCCAAGAGAGATTTCATTACTGCCATAGCAACCTCGTTGTTCCCCGCCTTTGCTGGACTCCGGCATCGAGCCGAGAAAAGCAGCTCGTTTATGGTGAAATAATCAAGTCACTAGGGACCAAGTTTTTACTTTGCACAGCCAGCAAAACATAACCTGTTTCTAATTTAAACACTAAGCAATCAATATTAAGTCCCTGTTTTAAGTGCTTAAAAATACACCTACAGAGATTTCTGTGTACACAAATCCAGTCAGAGATGCTTATGCTCAAAATGTTTCTCTTTCCCTGAATGTAGTGGGCACATGCTCCTGGGTATGACTAATTTCTTTGGGATTAATGCACTAACTCTTCTACAGCCTTAGGGGACAATTTATAGAGCTTCCCAGGTCCAACTGTCTAAATTAATCTACCTATAAAACCATGCCCCTGGCCGGGCACGGTGGCTCACGCCTGTAATCCCAGCACTTTGGGAGGCCAAGGCGGGCAGATCACCTGAGGTCAGGAGTTTGAGACCAGCCTGACCAACATGGAGAAACCCTGTCTCTACTAATAATAGAAAAATTATCTGGGCGTGGTGGCGCATGCCTGTAATCCCAGCTACTTGAGAGGCTGAGGCACAAGAATCACTTGAACCTGAGGCGGAGGTTGCGGTAAGCTGAGATGGCGCCATTGCGCTCCAGCCTAGTCAACAAGATAAAATTCTGTCTCAAAAAACAACAACAACAACAAACCCATGCCCCATTGGTTTTTTTGGACACTGGGTTAAAGTGGAAATTTTTACCGATTTTTAAGTGGCTTAAAACACACACACACACACACACACATACACACACACACCCCTATTCTTTCAGCGTAGCCAGCAGTCAGACAGAGAGGAAGGTTCAGAGACTCATGAGCCCATGGAACTCTCCTGTGTCTGGATGGTGCCACAGCTGTGCAGTGACTCTGGAGAGGAGGCTGGGAAAACGGAAGGCAATTGTTCAGGGTGGGGGATGGGGTACAATGCTTTAAGTAACATAAGCCAGAGACCCCATATTCTGCTGATGGGTGAAGACAAAGGCTGGAGTAGAGAAATGAGGATTCCACTTAATTACTGGGCACTCACAGCCCAAGGACTCTTTCTGACAGAAATGTAGACCTGGAACAGGCCTTAGAGACCATCTCCAGAGGATAAAAACCCAAATGCCTATAGGAGTCAGCAAGGTTACTACATGTATCTGAACAAAGGGCCACTCTCTATAACTAATAAGAAAATCATTCTCTGTAACCAATAGAGAATGATGGAGGCTGTGGCAAACTTTCCAGCCCTGACTTAAGGTCCACCTTAAAAAAAAAATCCCTATGTGAAACAAAAATCTCACAGGTGGGATCTGACCTGTGGGATGACACTGTGAGATCCCAGATGGTCTAACTCTCTCATTTTACAAGAAGGGAAACCTTACCTTTTTTTTGAATGTTTAGTATAAGCTAGACACCACTCTTAGTACTTTAGGTGTATTAACTCATTTAGTGTTCACAACAACCCTAGGAGGTATTGACTCCATTCTAGAAATAAGAAAACCGAGTCACAGAGAGGTTATGTAATTTGTCCAAGGCCACAAGATGACTGTGCCTGGTAAGCTAAAATTCTAACCCAGGCAGCCTGGCCCTTATCTGCTATGCTTCCCTGAACTCTCCTTGAATCTGTAATTTGGCAAGCTTGGTTTATAGTCTAACATTAGTCAGATTCACTTTCCTTGGTTTTACCTTTTGCCTCAAGGAAATGAATGTGTGCTCTGGTCTTGGGACTTATCACTAGACCACAAATGTTGGAGTCAAGGAATGTTGATCAAGGAAGCCCTGAATAAAAAGCTGTTCTGCTCTGTTAGAGAGACAGAGAAAGAAAACACAGGCTGGTAATTGTAGCCACCTGCTCATATGCCTCACAATCTACTCCTTCAGTGAGGGGTGTACACACTCAGTCTTTTGGGCATAAAACCAAATGCTTTCTGCATTTACCAAAACCAATTCTGACCCTTCATAAAGCATGACCAGTCCCTCTTCCAGAGTTGTGGGAAATTGTTTACTGAGCTGGATAAACTAATTAAGATCCCGGGAATGCTACCCCTCCCAGCCCTCCACCCCTTCTGACTCATCATCTCTACCCTCCTGCTTGGAACATCTCTGGTTTAACTGGGGTAGGCTGAGATCAAGGCCATGCCTACCTGGAAAGGGACTCTAGACACTGGGCCCATTGTTGTTTGCCTGGCAATCAATCTGGCCTGCAAATCTATGAAGTCTTACAGCCAGGTGAGGCCAGGCCCATAGCAGAAAAAGTGATCTAGTGGGTATCTAGGCAGGGCTAACTCGGGCCTTACCCCTCCAGTAGTCATCTAGCCCCAGCACAGGCCCTAAGGCTGATTCCTCTGTGTGTACATGTGCTCACTTCTGAGCCTGCAGAAGCCTTCCTGTGAATGGGTACCAGACCAATAGTAAGTACATTCTGAGCTTTTCATCACAAGCCTTTGTTTGAAGTTTCTGCCAGAGTTATCTCATCAGCTTGGGAGACTTCGATCACAATTAGCCTCAAAAGGCTTCTGCAGGTTGCCTCTCTGCTTTGTACCCACCCCCAGCCCTTCAGCCAGGAACAGTGTCCCCTTTAACAGCACTAAGCAGGCAAGGAACCCAGATATAGTGGTTCTACCCACCAATGCAGGCTTGAAGATTCTGGTTGAATTTTAGTGAAAAATACAACTGATCACATTGAAAAATATTTAAGATCCCAAAGGGAAGTGACAAGTGCAGAGCATCCTGAAACATTTATGAATGAAAAATGTTCTCCTAAACTCCCCTAGTTAAAAACCCAAGTCTCTCTAAGAGGCTAAACCACAGTCCTAAACCCATCAACACAATGGTCGGAGAACAGAGAAGCAACCTGATGGCTCACCGCCTAGTGGCAGCACAGGGTGACACACCAGCTCACTAAAATCTTACCTTCCTCTTGGGCTTTAGATAGAAACCACTTTTTCCTAAAGTTTCCAAGTTCTCATTTAAAATAGCCTACTCTCAACTACAATCAGTAAACCAAAGATATGAAAAGGTCAGATTTTGCTCCCAGTTTAGTGACAGTGCTGCCAGGCCTCTCTAGAGCAGGGCTCAGGGTCAGTGAAGTAGTCTTTCCAAAGGGCTGTGAGGGCTATAGCAAAGATTGTTCATCATTCCCAAGAAACAGGGTAAATTATGGAGGTGGCGACAATGTCTTTCTTGGCTCCATGTATTATCATTCCAAGCAGACAAAACCAAGTGAAATGAGTTAGCAGAAAATCAATTAGTTTTCTGAGACCTCTCTACCCCTGGGAATTTAATTAAAACTGGAAGTTGCTGACAAGAAGTTAAATCAAACTAGACTCAGAGCAGAAGAAACCCTCACCACCATCACCGCCGCCACCACCACTATCACCATCACCACCAATTTCTTTCCTTCCGCTGGGTAGCAACTATGTTTCAGCCTGTGGATAGGCAAATGCCTTGAGCTCTCCAGCAGAGGCCCTATGCCTGGAGTCCAGGTGGGAGTGGGTGTGTGGCACCCTTATTGCTCGGCACATCCACAGGTGTCCAGAAGCCATTCCTATTCACTGATTCAGAATAAAAGGACATGCTTGTTTATGCAATTAAAATAATTATGCTCCTTGAAGGCTCAAGTGAGGTTCTGATACAGGTGGCAGCCATCAGTGCTTGGTAACCTCTCTCATCTCTGTAGGAAATGGGGTTTTGTGACTCTCTCATGGTGATTCTACTTGCTGGGCTGATTACATTAGCTGAGCCACTTACAGAAGCTAAAGTGTGCCACTTTGAGACTGTCCATCTTGAGAAATCAATTCAGGAGAACTACGTAGAAACTGGAGCTCTTGGGACTGTGGATTGAGACCCACGGAGGAGGAAAAGAGACCAGGAGGCAGCCACTCTAAGGCAAGAAAGACAGGCTACTTCTAGAAGCCAGATCTTGGGAAGAGGCAACTCAAAGGATCCTCTCACACTAGAGTCACTCTTCCTATACAGCTGGGACAAGAAAGGGATAAGAGCAGCAGGCTAACTTGCAGTCATATTTAGACACAGAGTCACAATGAAATGTATCCCCTATACCAAGCATCTGAGGGCAACACCCTCTCTTTGGTGTGGTTGGGCTGAATGTCTTTGGTCTGCTTAAAATGAATGAGGTAGAAGGTAATGAAGGAGATGAAAAAGAAAGCAAATTACAGTTCCTCATACGTTGTCTGCTCCTCAGTGACTGCTTACTGCATTGAATTAGGCAGATCAAGGCTACTAGAGGCATTCTGCTTCCTCCAAGAACAAAGGAAAAGATAAATTGGGGGCTTGAACAAGGTCACCATCATCCACAGTAACTTAAGAGGATGTCCCAATTCCATGGGACAACTCAAGCTGGTGAGAGAAGATGAGCAGAACCAGGAGAGATGACTTGGGGGACCAGAGCAGAGGACAGGAGTGGGCTGGAAAAAAAACTGACCAGAAAAATGAACATGGATAGTTCTTGGACTCCCCAAGAGCAGCCCTCCAAAGCTGACTTCTATAGGCTGCATGAAGTAAACCTAGCAAAGATTCACAGGTTGGACAGACCTGAGCTGGCACTTTTAGCTTTGTAACCCTGGGAAAGTCACTTACCCTCTCTGAACTCATTTGTCATTTCTCTTATAGGAGTACTGTGAGAAGCAGCTTCCGTGTATGGAAGTTCAGACTGGAAGACTGTAACTACCCTACAGAAGTGGGTTAACATTTGTGCAGAAAAGAGCTGCCGTTGCGGTCCAAGGCTGCTATTTTCAGAAGGGTCTGTTTGCAGGGTTGGCCCTTGGCTGCCATCTGGGAACCTGGCTCTCAGACTATTCCCAGTCAATAGTAAACTGATGGGGGTAGTCCATTGTGCCTATATTGTGCAAATAATATCATTTATGCTGAACATTTGCTTTCCTTTAGAAAACTTCATTATGTATTAAGCAGCGAGTGTCTATGTGACCAGCCCCCAGTAAAAATCTTGGGTGCTGAGTCTCTAATGGGCTTTCCTGGGCAGAAATGTCACAAATAAGTTACTGTATTTTCACTGCTATAATAAACCTTAGCTGTGAGTATCACTATATGCTAAGTCCAGCAAATCTCTGAATGTGGAGGTGGTCTCGGGGATCTTGATACAGGGTCAACATTATATACCTACACCCAGCATGAGCCCACAGAGATCCTTACCCACTTCAAGAAGGCCTGACTTCCAGAAGCAAGGTAACTGATAGAAGACGGGACCTGGCCAGCAACCCAATAAAAAGCCCCAACCCCTAGAACATGGAGCTAATGATACTTATTGAACTTACTGACAAAATAAGGAAAAATAATACTTATTGAAAGCCCACTGGGAGTCTCAGTCACTGTGCTAAGTACTCACTCTATTCATTTCCTCTTTATTATCCTCATTTTTTAGATGAAGAAATTTGGCCACAGTGAGACTGAGTAACCAGCCTGAGATCACAAAGCTGGCCAGAGAAGGAAGTGACATTCTGGCCCAAGGCTGGCTGCAGACACTACAGAGCCCTCTCTCTTCTCAGTACCCATACTGCCTGCCTAGCTGCCACTTCCTCAACCTGTCAGGCTGCTTGGCTGACCCTAGGCTTCATCTGTCAAGCAAATCATGAACAGTTTTCTGCAGAACTAGAATAGGAAGAGAAATAGTACATTTTAGACCAAATGATCCTTACTGTGTATGATATTTTTCAAAGCATCATAACACAATCATTTCATTTGACCCTCATCACAATCATGCGCTAGGCTGCCTGGCAGATGTCCTCCTTTACTGGACAGGGAAAACAAGGCCAGCAATAGCCAGGTGGTTAAGACTAGGGCAGGACTCAAGCCAAGAGTCCTGACTATGTACCTGGCACATAGGAGGAGGTCAGCAAATGCCGGCTGGATGGCTGAATGATAAGTATAAAAGTGGGTTCAACAGGAAACTAGAGGTTCATTTTCTGAATCTTCATTTTTAAAATCATTTTTCTTTAGAATTTTTTCTTTAGAAATATCTGCATAGTACTGACCAGTCAACAAAGAACTCCAAGTAGCCTTCATTTGGTTTCTCCAGCTTCGGCGTCCCCATTTCTGCTTTCACGCCCACCAAGATGTCTGTGTGACCCTGCAGACACATGCAAGAAGGGTCCTCACTCAGAGTAGGCAGCCAGGCGCTCCACCACCTCCCTCCTCTTCTGGACATACACCCCTGGGGGACTCTTTTAGGAGCAGTGCTAAGACTTGGAAAGTGGTCTTTGGAGGAGGTGAGCAGTCTTTCAGATATGGAGACACCTCCTCCCTGAGTTTGGCTTGGATCTTTGATTTCCCCAAGAGCAATCTGCATTCCAAAAGCCAGATGGCATCAGCAGCTCATTCCTTAGTGTCTACTCATTTCTCCACTTGGGCTTCAACCATGGTCACAGTACTCACCAGCTTGACCCTGGCGGACCCACTGGTGTTGGACACCACATCGGTTTCCACTTCAACACATCGGTAGTCCTCACAGCCACGGCCATCCACGCGGAGGTCTTCCTAGGTGTTAACAACCACAATCCTATAGCTGTCACCCCAGACCAATAATAGACTCCTAAACTGACTCACTCATTTTCCCCCTAGAGAAGATATATGCAGAATATCTTTTCCTCTTAGTGGATCATCTAAAATTCTGTCCTTGTAGCTAACCACATTACTATTTTACATATGAGGAAATAGAAACTCAGAGAAGTTGAGCGACTTGTCCAAGGTCCTACAGCTAGTGAAGACAAAGCTAGTTTTCCATGCCAGTTTTGTCTGATTGCAAAATCTACACTACATACCACTATACAGAATATGTACACAAAAACAAGATCTGAACAAGAGACAAAATAAGCCACCTCTCCCCAAATCTGCAATTCTTAAATTGCACCAAGTAGTGTATGTGTCAGAGCTACAAGGTACAATCATCTCAACTGAAGCCCTCCTACCCCTAAAATTCAACAAGATCTACTGTGTAAACAGGGAAAGACACCTAATCTTCTAAAGAGGCAGTCTCTAGAACAGGGTCAACAAACTAAGGGACCTTGTTTTTGTAGTTTTACTGGAACACAGCCATGTCCACTTGTTTAGGTATTGTCTATGATTGCTTCTGCACTACAAAAGCAGAGCTGAGTGGTTGGGCCAGAGAGATGATCCATAACGCCCCAAATCTTTACTATCCAATCCTTTACAGGAAGTTTGCTGACTCTTTTGGCACAAGATGGTTTTCAGGGAGGTCTATGTTCCTTCTGCCCATTTATTTGCTCCTTCAATTACTTATATCAGTACAACTCATTGGTATCTTTTATGCTATGGTTATAATCCACTACTATCATTAGTTATTTTGCTGCTCAAAGTGTTCCAAATTCGGCCACTGGGGGCTTCTTTGGGTTAGTTTTTGTGTTCTTTCAACATGCTGCCAACTTTTTGTGAGTAATTATATACTTTCTGCAACACAAGATATCTATCCTCTTGTGTTTTCTCTGTCCAGCCCTAGGGATCAAGCCTTTCTCCAAGAAGCCCTGGTTGCTTTTATTGGGGAATGGTACTGAAAACCAGGATCTAGGCTCTAAGTTCATTGCTGTTGGAATATTATTTCTTTCAGAACTTCTTAGCAGACAGAGCTAAAAAATACAGGTATGTATACTAACCACCCCCCCCCGCCACCCCCCCAAATCTACGTGTAATTCTGTATCTATCTACATATCTATTAAAAAGCCATAAGTTCATACTGATAGCTAATTCCAATCTAACATCACATGGTTCATTCTAGCCTTCCTCCTTTTCTTATTTGTAACTTCTTTCTCAAAGAAGGAGAAACCCGGTTCTTATTATCTACCATGCATTTCTATATTTGTTCAATCTCAGCATACACATAGTTTCCAAACTTCTAATCCATACCCCTGTGAGAAACAAATTTACTAACAGCGCACAGCAATTTTATAAAGTTCTGTCTTTAGCCTCATAGTATTCAGCCAAAATACTGTTTTCCAGTTACTTGAGTTCTTTTCTTCCACATGCCCTTCAGTGTGGTTACATTATTCACTTGTAACACGGACTCATTTGTAACTTGTAACTTTTTTTTAGACTATGGCTCTGTCACCCAGGCTGGAGTGCAGTATGGCAGGGCTCACCGCAACCTCCGCCACCTGCGTTCAAACGATTCTCCTGCCTCAGCCTCTGAAGTAGCTGGGATTACAGGCGCACCACCATGCCTGGCTATTTTTCATTTGCAAATTTTTGTATTCCATTTTGGGTTCCCCTATATCCTGGTTACTTTTACTTACTTACTTTCTGGGTTTGTGAGCTATCACTATAGTTCTAAGAGACAAAACTCAGAAAACTATGCTCAGAGAAATGTCACTCTCCTCTTCTCTGTATTATGCTATTTTCATGCCCCTTTCTTCCCATTCACCCCAGGTTTCTCTTTAGTTTCTGGTTTATCTTTCTTGTATTTTCTCTGCACAAATAAGCAAATACATGAATTTTTAAATATCCCCTTGTTTCTTATATGAAAGGTGGAATACTATAGATACTCTTACTTTTTTTTTTTTAACACTTAACTATATATATATATATATATATGCAGGAAATCTTTCCACGTTGGCTCATGGAGCTCCTTCTCATTCTTTGTAAACATTTTTCAAAAGCAGTTTTTTTCAGAAAAAGAATCATTAGTTTAATCAGATTCTCCAAGGAGTTGATGCTTCCCAGAAACATAAAAAATAAAACAAAACACTGCTCTAAAGTATGTGGCTGACAGTTTATCTTTAAACAGTTTATCTTTAAACTGCCTGGCTAACTGCATATGTTACTGACTTTTTTGAGAAATTAAACAGAGAAAAGCAAAACACTGCAGCACCACACATACCAATGATCACCCTCTGCCATACTTGCTTCAGGTCTTTCACCCGTGTAACTTTTCAATGACAGAAAATAAACATCACAAATCAGGTGGAAAGTCCCGTGCAGCCCATCCTTTCCCAGCACCTTTCCTCCCTAGAAGAAATCCCTATCTTGAGTCTGGAGATGGATTCAAAAAGCAACAGAATTTCAAGTCTAAGAGAGTGAGCCTTTGGGGTAGAACTCCAGAAGGTGATCCCTCTTCACCAGAGGACCCATAACTATGTAACTGTGTCTCTTCCCGACCTCACCCATAGAAACTGAAGCCTTTCTACCTCAATCTCTCATACTCCACCCCTCTCCACCCCCATGTGCCCACTCCCCCACTAGGAAAGTGAAAACCCAGCCCAGAAACATTATTGACAAGAAGTTCTTCGTGGGGTGTAGATACGACATAAGTGTGAACAATCATTAGGAACATGACTCATGGTTCCAGGCCAGCTCCTGGCACTAACTGGCCACTTGACTTAGGACAAGCCCCTTCCCCCTCTGGATTAGTTTCCTCATTTGTAAAAGATGGAGATTAAATTAGTCTCAAAGTGATTCTCTAATTCTACAGATCTATAAATTAAAATGGCTGCAATTATTTGCAATAAATAATAGCAGCTGCTATTTACTGTGCATTTACTATATACCAGATAATGTGTAAGGAATACTGCACAGTTAATGCTTTTAATCTTTTCAATAATCCTATAAGATAGTGTTATTCATTCCATTTTACAAATGAGAAAACTGAGGTTAAAAGATGTCAAATGAATGGCCCAAGTTCACACAGCCAGTAAGTAGCATTTAAGCCTCAAGTCAGAGCTCTTAACCACTATGCTACACAGTCCACAGTATTCTAAAGGGTCTCTTCACTTTATAAAAGGACTCAGCACAGACCTCCTTCATAGGATGAACTGGCTGGCCACGAGGTCACAGGATTTACTACTGCTGCTTCTTCCCTTCTTTTTTTTTTTTTGAGACAGGATCTCACTCTATCACCTAGGCTGTAGTGCAGTGGCGATCACTGCAGTCTCAAATTCCTAGGCTCAAGCAATCCTTCTACCTCAGCCCCGTGAGTAGCTAGGACTACAGGCACATGTTACCATGCCCAGCTAATTTTTAATTTTTTTTTGTAGAGATGGGGTCTTGCTATGTTGCCCAAGTTGGTCTCAAACTCCTGGCCTCAAGTGACCCTCCTGCCTTAGCCTCCCAAAGTGCTGGGATTACAGGCATGCACCACCACATCTGGTCCAACTACTGCTTCTAACATATCACTTGCTCTGAAAGATTAGTCACACCTCTTTGTAGTGAAAATGTACTTGGCCCAGGATGGGGCTGGTGGGCTGTCAGAAAACTGAGCCTCATCAGACATTGCCTTTCCAGCCTTTAATTCACTCTCTGCCTCCTGGAGAAAGGCTCAGGTGATAAGTAAAAGATAAATGAAAAGCTACACATTTTCCTTTCCAAGCATGCATATTTTTTTTCCATAGAAAAAAAGAATAGAAGGAAAACAAACCAAAAAACCAAACCAGTCCATGAATCACTGTACCCAGGGCAACTTTTTTTTCAATCCAGTTTTCTTTATAAGAGGCTTAGGAAATTGTCCAAACCTGCCTGGCCTAGCTCAGAGCCTGGTGCCCTACCACAGTTTTTATTTATCTGCAGCAGTCAGAAGCAAAGGAATTAATCCATGTGTGAACATTTAAATAGGAGTTACCCTGAGGTAAAAGCTCCATTTCAAAACTCAAGAGATGTCAACAGCATGGAGTGGTGTCCCCTCCTCAGCAGAGGAGACTGATGTGCCTCTAGATCAAGGGTTTCCGGATGCCAGGAAAGCTCTTGGTGACTTTCATAGATGTTACCCATGTGATCACAACAACCCTACCAGTAGGGTGTGGTGTGGTGGAAACAGTCACCTTCCAAATTATACTTAAATCTCTGCTGTCACATGCCAGTTTTGCGACCTTGACCTCAATAGCTCTAAGCCTGTTTCTTCACTAGAAAGTAGGGATAACCCCGACCTTACAGAGTTACAAGAGAACAGAAACGTCATAAAGCATTTAAGGGAGCCCTTCAGTATAACACATAGGAGTCTCCCCAAAGCAGTTCCCTTCCCCTGCTTCTGGGGGCATGCATTAACTCACTGCATCCTCAAAAACAACCCTGAGAGAGGTTACAGATAAGAATGGAGGCACCTAAGTTTCAATCTCCTGTTTGTGACAGAGTGGAAGGACATTTAAGCCCAGACCTGCTTTCCCTCACACCCAGGAAGCCCAGTCCTATTACTTCTTAATAGAAACTGACAAGTTGGCGCTACCAATCTGACACACCTGGAAGGATTTTAGACTCAAAGTGGTCCTCTGAGGTTATGTTAACCCCTCATTACTTTGCTTTGACTTGTCTAATACTCCAGATTCCTAGAGGAGAAGTGAGACTAAATTCCTTCCCCTACTAGAAGGTGACCCCCCGCTTAGGAAAGGGACCACATTTGGTCTAGCTTTGCAGGCTCGGGCCCACGACACAGCAGGCAAAACTAGGTGTTGATCCTTGTTTGACTTTCCAACCCTGTTGAGTAGCCAGGCATTCCTCTGAAAGGATATGGCTCCATAAGGCTGTACCCTGCAATGTCT